ATTACTTACACTTGTAACCATATTCTTCCATAATATGCCGCCAAATGAACGTAATAAGTTGGAACTGGATAGCTTACAGATCTCGTGCAGTGTGCATACATATGGCAGAAATAATACATCAACTCTTCAAGTTGATCTTCAGCAAAATTTCTTTCGTTACAAATACATCTGTATTTTGTAGGTCTTGCTGTACTCTGTACAGAAATACTATACTATATATAGGATAATTATTGCAAATCAGATATGGAATGGGTATGGAAGCTGTGCTTTTCCGACTGTCATACCAAACTAGGATGCTAAAAAGCTAGAGAAATGCAAGAGATAATATAATTTAATTATTATATTACAATTATTATTGTACAATATAAAATCATTACTATTATATACTAAAAATAAATGTAATAGAATATATTTAACTCAAGACATGCCAATGCATTCGTTAAAATTTTACATGGTTGTTTAAAAAATACTCGGGCACTTTTTGTTCGCGTTAACGTGTTCTACGCACGTGCATTGATATGTCTTGCGTTAACGACCCTGTATATGTAATATAATTTTAATTAATTACAATCATGACATAACGACATCTGAATTTAAGATTGTAAATTAGTATCATAATGGATTTTATTTCCGAACAAAAGCGACGCAATTAACAAGAAAGCGTCCGAATTTATGAGAAACAACCCAAAATAAATAAATTTAACAAGTAAATTTTTCATATACTTCACCTTGGTTTCTTAACACATCCACAAAATCAGGTAAATTTCTGTCTATATTTTTATAACAGACATTGACAATAGTCCATGTACCATCCTCTAATTTTGCAGGTTTACTAAATCTTTTAGCATGCCAAACTCCTTTATTCACCATCGCCGGAGTTCGGTCGTTATACTGAAGTGTTGGAGGAAGTAAGATTCTAGCGTCGACCTCCTTCATTTGGGCAGCAACTTCCAAATGAAACTCGTTTTGCATAACATGGCTGTCATTCACACAGATCCCATTGAACTGTAAATATATAACATGATAAATTACAATATAATATCTTTATGATGGATATTAGTGCGAAATGTGCTTTACCGCTCTCCTTATTTTTTCGATACGATCATCTGTTTTCGTAGCTGCGTATTTAATCATTTGAGTAGTTTGCGATTCATCTAGTTTCCTGTTAACCGCTTGACCAGGCGCGACCTTACATAACTATAAACGAGCGAATTTTAAATTTGTGTTATTTGATCGGTGTCAGCGAAACATAAGATGGTTCACATACTTCTGCAGGCAAATAGATCTTGCCATCTCTTTTGCCTACCCAAAGGCAAGGAAGATGTGGGAATTTCAATTTACAATTCTTGACTGTAGCAAAATACTCCTGTATCGAATACATCTTTCCTTTTACATCAAATTTATGATT